CCCTCTCAGCCTTCTCTTCTCCAGGCTGAACAAGCCCAGCTCCCTCAGCCTCTCCTCGTAGGGGAGATGCTCCAGTCCCCTCATCATCCTTGTAGCCCTCCACTGGACTCTCTCCAGCAGCTCCTCATCTTTCTTGAACTGGGGAGCCCAGAACTGGACACAGCACTGCAGATGGGGCCTCACCAGGGCAGAGCAGAGGGGAGGAGAACCTCCCTCGACCTGCTGGCCACACTCCTCCTAATGCACCCTAGGGTACCATTGGCCTTCTTGGCACCCAGGGCACACTGCTGGCTCATGGTCACCCTGTCGTCCCCCAGCACTCCCAGTCCCTCTCCACAGAGCTGCTCTCCAGCAGCTCAGCCCCAGCCTGTACTGGTGCCTGGGGCTGTTCCTCCCCAGGTGCAGGACCCTGCCCTTGCCCTTGTTGAACCTCATCAGGTTCCTCTCTGCCCAGCTCTCCAGCCTGTCCAGGTCTCGCTGGATGGCAGCACAGCCTGCTGGTGTATCCACCACTCCTCCCAGTTTGAGAACTTCTCAAACAGCAGGATGACTTTACCAGTGGACTTGAGTGTTGTAGGGTGAAAATTTGCTGGCTGTTGCAGGTGTTCTCTAAATAGTGCAAAATAGAGAAGACCTAAGGCCCCGTGTGACACACTGGGTTTCAAAACAAACACGGCACGGCTTCCTGGTGGACAGAGGGTTGGAAGTTGGGAGATACACCTTGAAATGCTTTAATTTGCTACTGGGCTCGCTAGGCGACCCCGCCTTGGTACAACTTGCCGCTGACGCTGTGTGCTGTTACTTCTTCCCTGGCTTTGCCCGCAGGGAATGGCGATGCTTTGTGAAACAATCGAGGAATGCTGGGATCACGACGCCGAGGCCAGGCTGTCGGCGGGCTGCGTGGAAGAACGCATTATCCAGATGCAAAAACTGACTAACATTATCACAACAGAGGACATCGTGACTGTGGTCACAATGGTGACAAACGTGGACTTTCCTCCCAAAGAATCCAGTCTATGATGGTTGCACTGGTGGCGTAACCGACCGCCGGGACTTTCACTGGAGCTGCTAAAGCTGACGGGACTGCGCGCGTCGTCGCTGCTCTCCGCGTGGCGAGAACGGTGAGTCTCGCCGGAACATCGTCGCGAGGTGGTTTTCCTTTGTCTTGCCCCTGCCTCCCTCCCAACGTGGATCCGTGAGACTTTTTGCATTCCCTGCTGACGCCCGAAGGACGCGCGGCTGAGGAAGGAGCGCGCGCCGTTGAGGAGCGCAAACGAAGAATACGGACCCGTGCTGGCCAATCGAGCGTTTTAAAAACTGACATCCGATTTCCTAATACCTGTCGGAAGAGACTAATTCCTTAAATGAACTACTGTTATTTTTTTTAAATCAAACATTTCATTTCAGATTTAAAAAAAAAAAAAAGGGTAACTTGTTTTTATTGCATTTGCTGTTTATAAAAATGACTATTGTAATGCCAATATGACACAGCTTGTGAATGTTTAGTGTGCTGCTGTTCAGTGTACATAAACACAAGTAATCACGTGGGATAGAGCAAAGAGGCTTCCAAGTATTACTTAACCTCCCTCAACAAGGTATACCTCAGTTCCACCGCCGCTCAACGACGAGATTGACAACACTAACGAAATTGGAAGAAGAAACCGGTCCGCGTTTTGTAAATGATGTATTTCAAATTCACTGTGTTATTTAAAAAGGGTAAGCTATGCTTCATGCCAACAGTAAATGGCCATTCCTAAAGCAGTGTTTTTAGCCTTTTCTTGTACTAGCTTGTTGTGTATAAAAAAAACAAAAAGTGCTGTTTATTGAAACAAAATTTTCCTTCCTGTTTTAGTTTAAAGCTTTTCTCTTACCTCCATTTCCCAGAGTATTCTCGTACATTTATTTAACTGAATTCTATTTAGGTTTGCTGTGTCTGAGGAATATTTGAAAACTTAAGCATGACTTTTTTTTAATTTTCTGTGAGCTATGACACTGGAAAGCTCTGAATTCTTTTTTTTTTTTTTTTTTTGAAAAAAGTCTTTTTCCTATTTATGTTTGTGAAGAGGTCTGCCTAGCGCGTGTTGCGTTCCGCGAAGCGGTGGGTTCCGTGTCGCTGTTTCAGGACCGCCTCAGGAAGCTCAGTTGCCCCCGGTTCCTCGCTCTCTGCCGGGAGGTTTGCGGCTCCGCTCTGCCAGAAGCTCGCTGCCGTCTCCTCAGAGTAGTCCGCAACGCCTGTGACACGGCTGTAGGGCTCTCCTGGCGCCAGGCGAAGAATTCCAGCCACAGGTTTCGGATTATAAACGCTTACAAATTTCAGGGATGATTTCGTGGCGCTTACAAGTGCAAATGTGCAGTGACTGTTCAGAGGTAACGAGTGCCACGGGCCGGCGCGCAGACCGGCGCGATGCGAGGCGGAACGTTGCGGTGGCTTTCACAACTCCGACGTCCTCTGCGAGGGCGGGAGCTCGCGCCTTACCTTCAACTCCCACAGGGACTGGTAGGCAGGTGCCAAAGTGCTGCTCAGAAGTTCTCGTTCACTACATTGACTTGATCCTTTACCCAGGCGCCCAGGTACAACGAGCGTTACAAACCTCTGGCGTGCCGCCCCGAGCGTGCTGCGTGTTTCGTCACGGCTCGCTTTGCTTTGGCACCGTGCGTTCGGCGCCGTGCGAAAGCAGCTCGTGACGATGCAGGTGGGAGCTCACGGCCAGACGTTTCCCAGCTGGGTGAGCCCCATCTTGGGGAACAACGGGACGAGAGGGCTTCCCAGCAAGGGGAGAGCGGAGCAGCCGTGCCGCTGGGGCCTGGTGTGCCCTGCCATGGGGGGCAGTTGGGCTGTGACGGGGAGGAAATCGAGTTTGAGGCCGCTGCTTGGACTGACACTTTCGTTTTGCTTCCGTTTCTAACGCAGGGAGGTTACTTTGGGACGTGAACGCGGCTGCCGAGTTCTGAACAAACAGGAACCCGTTTGTGACGGAGTTGTTGGAGAGCGCGGGCGGGGACTGCAGCGCGAGGACCTGCCGCTTCCTAAGGAGCCGGTGGAGGTCCCAAACAGCACCTCCCGCTGCGCTCACTCAGTTGTAACCAGAGAGTGGTGGTAAGGCGTTCCCTGCTCACGCTAGCATTCACCACAATAACCAGGGTTACCAGTTGGCTCTTTTTCCAGCTCCTCTTTTTTTTATCCTTTTTTAACACATTTACCTTTATTGGGAACACTTGGTACAAAAAGCCGCAAGCCGCACTGCGTGTTCGTGGGCAAAACGATTCAAGTAGCATCCTTGACGGGACATCGTTTACCTCAGATACTCAACCAGCAGTACTTCTTTTGGGTTTTCCCTTCCATTTTTTTTTCAGTCCATGTACTATTCGTTACCTCTCGAGGTTTCGGTAAGCAATTCTTGACCTTTACTCTTTGTATTTGTCAGTGTTTCGGGCACAGGTTGTTGTACTACTGTCAAAAGGCACTCGCTGTTTTTCTGCGAGC